TCCCAGGGCAGCAGCAGGGGAGGGGGGAGGAGAAATGAGGGGAGCAGATGGAGGCTGCATTGGCTGCTGAGGATAGGCCCAGGAAGTAGACAGGGTGTAGGGGGAGTGGCTGGAAATACCCCCATCATAGAGTCCAGACAGGTCTACAGACGAGAGGCCTCCCCTAGCCATCGAGATGAAGCGAGGGGTGAGGGGTGGGGTGGGGTGGGGCGGACAGCCCAGGAGCCGCTGGGTAAGAGAAGGACCATGTTGTCTGAGGGTACTAGGATCCGAACACAGCTCCACAGAAAGAAAACAACAAAAAAACGCCACACAAACTTTGTGCCTTGGTTTCCCTACTGGCGCTGAGGGCAGACAACAAAGGGCTTCTGCTGAGAAGCCCTCAAGAGGTGCAAAGTGCCAATCTCTTCCTGTCACCAGCCTTTTGGCACCCATGGAACCAGGCCCTTGTCGGGTCGCCAAGGTGGTTCAGAGCAGTAAGCACCCACTCCCCCCCTTCCCTGTCTCCAGCCTCGGCTAAGAATGGGGTCAGCCACTCACCTCTAGGATGCAGTATAGCCTCAAGACTCGGAACATGGTTTCTGACAAGGGTATTGTGACAGGGACCAGAGTAGGTAGCAGGATTTAAGCAGAGGCCTCTCCTAAGGGATGGGACCATCTTCTAAACCTCCAACCCCCAACATGATGCCAGCACCCAAAGCCAGTCTGAGACGGTGGTATTATGGGTGTGAGGTCACAGAGCGTCCATAAGAACTGTGAGAGGAAGCCAGCCCAGCCTAGGTCTAGCACAAGAAGGGACCTCTGGACTCTTCTGTTCTCCACTTAGCGAGTTCAGTCACAAATATGTAGATGCCCAGTGCTCTGTTTCCAGAAATTGGCCTTCCTGATTCTCAGGAGGAGAGCACACAGCTTTGCATTCGAGCTCCTTAAAAGCCTCCTTAGTCCCAGCATTCCAGAGCTGTACAGATATCTCTTCCTTCTCCCTTTCCTTCCCCTCATTTCACCCAGATCCTTAACAGGAAAGTCTCACTTGAAGATACCACAGGGGACACAAATGTCATGGGGGCTACTCAGGCCAACACTCAGGGGGAGGGGACTTTCAGCTGGCACCACCCAGGGGGATCCCATTTCAGTCCCTAGGGCCAGCTGGACCCAGAAAGGCACAGCCTTTACCCTTCTGGTGGCCAATGTGTCACAGTCCCAGCCACTTGGCCCGTCAGTCTGACACACCACTGTGGGGGCCTAGAAGGAGGCCCTGTCACCGAGCGGTTCAGGAGGACAGATGGCCACATATGGGCAGAGAAATCACCTGGAGCAGGCCCGACCAAGGTGCATCTAGAGTACCGCAAGGGTTAACTGTTGCCGCTGATTTTAGACAACATTTCTGAAAGCACAGTTAAGGGACCATCTGCTGAAATTCACAGAGGAACTTGGTAAAAATGCAGATTCTTGGGCCCCAACCCAGACTCCTGGAGCAAAACCTCTGGGGCAGAACCCAGGAATCTGCATTTCTAGCAATACATGAGGTGATCCTTATGCAAGTAAATTTGAAAATCACTTCTTAGAAGGATGTCCCTCTAAGACCTTCTGTCTCCATCCCACTTTCTCTCCCAAGTACAGGTCTTTAACCTCATCTGTCCTCCTCTCCAGCTTCGGTGACCCTCCAGAAGCCGTGTCAGGGCTGCAGTCTGGCTCCCTGCATCAGGAAGGAGGAACCCTGGCCAGCACCTGGTACAAGGGCTCCTGACCACTTGGCTCTGAGTTTCCTCGTAGCCAAAGCCAAAAGTCAACCATGATAGGTTACACAGTCCTCTTAATCCATTCATTTAACATGTATGCGTTCAGTATATACCAGGCACTTGCCTACATACAAATTAAGAAACAAGTAAGGTCCCTACCCGTTACCTTAAGAAGAGAAAAGCTGTGCTTACATTTAGCTTTGGTAGAAATGTCTTTATATAGGGCATAAAGAGGGGGGAAAATACACACACACATATATATATATCTTGAGCGCTGTATCAGATTTCATAAATTCTGGTTCTGGTAGCATTCCTTAGTAAGGCCAAGGGCATTATCCCAATATTCATCTTAGTGAAATCAACTGGAATCCAAATACATGGTCCAAATACAGAGGTTTCTTGTGATTCTAGTTGTTCCCAGGAGAAATCCTAAACTATGTAGAACGGTGAAAGGACCATTTGCCCTTCAACTGTAGCGATATGAGGAAAATGTTTTGAATGTGGTGAAGAAAGCAGGATATAAAATTTTATGCTGCATGAGGTGAAAATCTGTATGCATATGAATAAAGATAAGAAGGGAATATGAAGATTTAAAAATAAAAAAAAGACATAAGGGCTCAAGCTCTTTGTGGGGGGGGCTGCTCTTAAATCTTAAAATAACGACTTATCATTGCCATCACCTGGCCCACTAGCGCCTGCATCCAAGCCTAATTTTAAATGCCTCCTTCGGCCTAGTGGAGCTCAGCTTGGAACCAGAAAGTCTGTTAAGAGCCCCAGGTGCTCTGTTATGTGACTTTCAGTGACTTTGTACAGACAGGCCCACAAAGACCATGCTCAAATGGTGACTCGTGAGCTACCTGAACGCCCTACAACCCAGCTACCAGATGCGTCTCCGAGTCTACAACGACAAGAAACAACAGACCAAGAGAAGGTTTCCAGTCCAGCTCTGACCGTTCCTGCCACATGACCAGGTGCTCCCTACCCATGCCTCCAGGACCACCTCACCACTGATGCCAATTAGAAGCAGTTCTATACGCTTTCCTTCACTGGGTCTGCAGCATACAGAATCATAAACACGAAAGAAACCACGCAGGGAGAGTAAGCAAACACAGCAAGCCCCTCAGACCCTGGGCGACCCTGGTGGGCCCACTACCTTTCCAGATATAGAAATCCAACACCTGCAGAGCCCTAGACAGACAGACAGACGAGTGAAACCTAGCCTTTGCTGCTGCACCTTTATAAAATATACAACGTAAACTGAGAGGCTGTAAGGAAGCCACAGCCCGACTCCCTAACCCCAGGGGCACCAGCCGAGCGGGTACCCTGGCCCAGCCCTCTCCATGAGCTCACACCCCCACCCCGTGTCTACACCCATAGTCCAGCTCCTCCCTTGCTCTCTCCATCTCTCCATCAACACTTCCCACTCTCCCACCTCCACACAGTACCAGCACTTACACATTCTTGACCTCTCTTCTTTGCACCTGTACCTATCAGCCAGGACCAGGTCCCTGTCCCAAAGTAACCTACCACACCAGTCACACGAAAGAGCCCCAGCCTTGACACAACCATCTCAAGAGAGGGAGCCTGCCAGAAACATATGACCCTACACATGACTCTTCTTTTGGAGGAAAAAAGAGAGAAATCAAACCTAGTCCAGTTTCGGTAGGAAAGAAGATACTAGTTGGGAAAGATGAGGCAAAATAGAAAAGCAAGTGAGGAAGGGGAAGGGACCTCATCACATGGGTTAGGGACGTTCAGGTGGGTAGTGAAGGAGGTGAAAAAGGAAAATCCAGGGGAGGCAGCTCCACGAAGTCACCACCGGGCTTTCCTCATATCCCAAAATTTAGCTGCCAGCTGTCTCTCTCCCTTACCCCTGTACCAGAGGACACTGGTGAAACGAGGAAAGCAAAGCACTGCATCGTTAACTGAGACCCCAGCCCCCAGCCCCAATTCTGATGCGCAAGGGCTATACCTGAGGGCCTGGAGATACATCATTCTCAATCCATCGCCCCTGCCCAAAGGAGGTCTAAGAGTCCAGACCACATTGCCCCTGGCACATCCCAGGGGAGGAGGGCATCTTACCACCCACATATCTCTATGGCAACCACTGCCTCAGACTTGAGGTACCAAGACTGAAAGAAAATAAGTCAACTTTACAGCCATGTACCAGAAGAGCGAAAAACAGGGGCTGGGTGGGAAATGGCAAAGCAAGCCTTGCTGGTGGGGTCAAAGAGAGACCTTCCCAACCAGATAAAAGATGCAGCCCAGAACAGAAGCCTCTATGGACACCTACCCCAGAGAGCCTCACATCTTCCCCATGGCATCTATCCTGGCTCCTAATGTAGTTATAATGTACCACGGTCCAGCCCTAAATTCCTTTCTCTGAGTCACATAACCTTTGTCCCCTGAAGCCTTTGATGACCTGATCCATCCACACATCTCCTTACTCACTAGACTGGCTCCGAGAGCACTTCACACATTGCTGGGTCTATACCTATCAGATGAGGTGAGTTTGGCAAGCACCCAATATGAGGTTGAGGGAGTATACTTTCTAGGTGTGAACAACAGGACCTGACCTTTCCGGCCGCAGAAGTCAGGATCTGAGGCCTAGGCCTATTATACTCCTCATACCCAGAACCATGCTGCTCCCACCAAACCGAGAGCCATCACCCGCCACCGAGGACACACTGCATCTGCTGCCGTACCACCAACTTTGTAATTTGATCAAAAAAAGCAATCAAGTTCGTCTGGCAGGATTTGTTCCCAAGAAGCCCTCGCCAGTAGCAGCCTCCCCTGATATTTACAAATTTCCTTCCCTTGGGAGTCTGTTCCACCGCCTGGTGGGCAGGGGGAGGTTGGAGTTGTCAGGGTTGCTCATTTACTGCATTTCTATCCTAAACACAACCGAGGCCTTGGGATTAATAGAGGTCTGGAGTGGCCAACCCCACCCTACAGAGACATGCTCCAGGTGCCTCCAATCATGCCAACCATCATCCTTCAGGTCTCCCCAACTTCCCACAAAGGACCAAACTCCCTTGAGTCTTTGGGGACCATTCCTCTCTGCAGCTATCTACATATCTGTTCTCGCCTTTGGAGCACTTTCAGTTCCTAATGTCACTCCTTGTCTGGTTTCAAAGTCCACCTACCCTGAAATTCTAACTCTCCTCCAAGGGCTAAAACCCCTAACTCCTGAAGCCTCTTTAGATGAAACCAAGGCCTTGGAGTTACCCCTAGGGAGAGGCCAAGATGCAGAACACTCACCCCGAGCAGACAACTTCTTGGTATTGATGATTTTTGCTGCATACTCCTGCGTGGAGGTTTTCTTCACACACCTGCGGACCACAGAGAAAGCACCCCTGGAGGGAAAAGGGGGAAAGAACTGGGACACAGAGTAGGACAGTGTGACACAGACACAACTGTGGTCTGAGGGGAGCAGTGTTCCTGTCACCAGACCTCTAGTCAAAATCACTCTCTTCCGCCGGCTAGTGACCACCGCCCTTTGACAAGAGGCAGAAGGATGTGGTCACTGAACGATCCTGAACAGACATGGGATGGAGTGCCACCCCCTCATCTGGTTCCTGGACAAAGTCACAGCCCCCAGCATCAGGTTGCACAAACAGGACCCGGTGGGTGATGCTCTGAAGCACACACCTGCTGCATCTCACTGATAGCCCTGTGTTCTGGCCAAGAGACCAGGAGAGGGAAGGACACAGAGAGACCCTACTCCTCAGCAGGAAGAGACCTGAGAAAGACAGTATAACCCCCTGAGAGAAATCTCCCTCAACCGTGGGTAAAGGTGAAGGAAAGTGAGGCTCAAACCCCTTACAACAAGCTTCAACCAACTGCCTCCCGGCGCACTGACAGCAGGGAAAAAGGCAGGATAGAGTTGTGGGGTTCAGACATCAACGGCCCCCCTCGATTTTTTCCTCTAGGTCTCCCTCCCTCCCCATGAGAGCTCGCACTCTCCAGCTCTGGAAGCGTCTAGGGGGCGGGCAGGGCGGGGGATGCAGTGGCCGGACAGGCTGGGGCTGCTGCAGCGGCCAGCTCAGTGCGGAGGGGAGGGGGATGCTGCGGCTGCGGCGCGTGGCTCCCGGGACCACTGCAGGGATGGGGGGAGGGGACGGGGGTGCTGCAGCACTGCCCAGCAGCGGGGCTAGGATCCTGGAAGCGGTACTAGCGGGGGGCGGGGCCGGCACCAAACATCCCCCTCGCCACCACCACCACCACACACACACACACACACACACACACACACACACACACCCGGGCGCCGCAGCGGGGTTGGGGCTGCAGGGCTGGGGAGGGTCCTGAGTGTCAGGCGCGTGGGACATGGGGACAGGGTGTAGAGTGACGTCCGGAACAAGATGGGGAGGGGGTGGCAAGCAGGAGGGACCCAGAGGAGGGTAGCCTTAAAGGTGCGGGAGGGGCGGGGCTGGAGGGCGCCCATGAGCGGTCCGTGGGCTGCAGTCCCCGCGGCAGCTGCTGCAGGGCGCGGAGGGGGCTGCGGGGCAAGGAGCGGGGGACAAGGGCGCCCCAGAGGCGGCGGGCGGGAAAGGCTGGGGGTGGGGGGGGCCGAGGGGGCGCTGCAGCGGCCGGTGCAGGGCCGGGGGGCGGGGCGAGGAGCCGCATAGCGCCCGGGCGACGGGGGTAGGGCGGGGGACCGCGGCGGGCGGCGGGCGGGCCGTACTTGCCGAGCTCCTCGAAGAGCTGGTAGTCGTCGGTGAAGCGGGTGCAGGTGGCGGTGGTGGCCATGCTGGCGGGCAGGCAGACACGGCGGTGCAGCCCGCGCCGACGTCGGTGCACAGTCACCGCCGCCCGGCCGAGAGAGCAAGAGGAGGAGACGGGGCTGAGCCCGGCAGCACCGCGAGACTTTACCGGGGAGAGCGAGGAGGGAGGGACACCCCCGCGCCCGCCTGCCCGCCCCGCCCCCAGCCCCGCCGGCCCCCTCCCGCCCGGCCCTCGGCCCGCCCCTGGGGAGGGGCCTCCTGTCTCCGGCCTGGCCCCGCCCCTGGAGCCTCGCGGGCTGGGCTCACAGCGCAGGGAACAGAGAGGAGGGGAGTCTCAGCCCCTTGCTACCCGCCAGGGCAGAGGGAGCTGGAAGGTTCGCGACCTGTGGACTCGTGCTAGGCGGAACCTGCGAGGGCTTGGGACTGTGCCCGCAAGGGTGGTGTGTGATGGGGTGTATTGGGGGCTAGAGACTCAAAATTTCTTGAGTCGGACTTAAGGATGAGCTCACAGGATGAGCAGAGGGCCAAGGTCAAAGATCTGTGTCAGACTGCACGCGTAGGAGACGACCCGCAACCTGTGTAGATCCCTTCTCCCAACCGCTTTCCTATAGGGGACTGACAGTCTAGACCTATGCAAACATCAGGGCCATTGCTGAAAGAAACTAACTTGTCAGGCACGGTTTGATCAGGGAGACCAGGCCAGGAACAAGCATGCAGGAGGAACTGTGCCTCCCTGCCCTCCAGCCTTAGAGTTGAGAGAATGCTCTCTCAGGCCAGTAATAAAAGGGATGATGTGGGAAAGATTATAAAAGGTTTTGTGCTCTGGGACTAGAAGAACAAGTAGAAGGTAGGAGAAAACATTCCCATTTTCTCTGCAGAGCATTCTGCACTTTTATTTTATGTCACTTACCACATTTTATAATTACATGTTTATTAGTATGAGAGGCAGTAGAGCTGAATTTAGCTGTTGAAAGCGTAAACTTTGCAGTCAGACTGCTTGGCTTAGAATTCTGACCATCCCTGTGACCTCATTTAGGCAAGTCATGTAATCTTCTTGTGCCTCAGTTACCTTATCAGAAAACTGGGAATGTACCTCATAGGGTTTTGAGCACTGAATAGGCTAAATCATGTGACATATTTAGCATAGCAGCTGGCACCTATATGTGTTAGCTTTATCATTTGTTTAATATTTGCCTTTCCACAAAATTGTAGGCTGCAAAAGAGCAGGCCGCTACCTCCTTTGTTCACCAGCTCAGACCCTCAATAAATATTTGTGGAATGAGGGGGCTCCTCAGGGCCATGGCAGAGGGAGTTGCCACCCTTTTCCTCTTTCCTGACCATTGCAGGGTGATGGGACAGAGGCATGTTAACTATCTCCCTGGGCAGAGTCCTGACCTGCCCAGGAAGCTGTACCCTAATCAGCCCCAATTGAGCAGGGAGGAGCTGTGCCAAAGTGCTACCGCACACAGTCTTGATTACAGCAGGACACCCACTGGGAGTTGGGCCTTCGTTGTCAGCCGGCTTATTCGCCAGAGGAGGCAGCGGAGAGTAGTCAGAGAGGTGTCCCAGCCTCCTAGGCTGCCTCCCTAGGGGGTGGGTGGAGCAAAGCTCCTAAGGAGGGCGCCCCTCCTTTCCTTACTCAACAGCCTTAGGAGCTGCTCGGAGAACCAGACTGCCTAGTGGGACTGACCAGGGAATAAGGAAGGAGAGGAGCCCAAGAGGGAAAGCATGAACAGATTTCCTGGGAGGAGGGCAGGGAAAGGATGGAGGTGTCAAAGCACCATGCCTCAACCCCTCCCCAAGGCAACAGGAAGTAAAGCAGTGAAGAGTAAGGCTACTTCCTAGCTCAGTGAGCCAGGTCCCAAGTCCCACGTGGAGGCAGGACCACAAGGGTGTATATATGGAGACGACAGTAAGTCTTGAGTTTCTGTCATTCGCCTTAAAGGCTGCTCTCAAAAAATGGTGAAGGCAAAGAAAGAACTCAGAACTCAGTGTGCCTTTTCCAGAGATCTAAGGCGATTTGGTTTCTGACCTCCAGACGCGGATCCTTGAAACTTTATAGTCGTTAATGCAAGGTAGTGAGGTCAGAACAAGCACAGACTAGGGCTGCCGGGATCCTGGCAAAAAGTGAAAACAGGACAGTAACCCTGACAGTTGTCACAGACCTGCTGTAAGAGGGGATAGCATCCTGGCTGAGGGGAAGCGTTCTACACTAGGTGTTTCAGGGTAACCATATAAAGCATTTTGCCTTGACCCATGAGAAAATGTTGGGGTGAGGCCTTGTTGATGATTCACTGTGCACAGTGTAAGTGCAGCTAGCTGCCTTTCAGTAAATATTTATCAACTGCCTACTATGTGCTTTGGACTGCCTCTTGCTTGGTGAAACATTCCAAATAAGGGGGACAGTTAGAATTCACATAGAAAGAAACTCCATCCATTCTCTTCTTTTTCCTTTCTATTGCTAACTCATTTCTCCCTCACTACTGCTCTCAGCAGCTCAGACACTGACATGTCGGCAGTGGTGATGTGGAGCAGCCTCTATACACCTCTGTGTATGCACACACACACACACACACACACACACACACACCCTCCTTGATCCCGACTGCTGTAGCACCCACACAACCGCCAGCTACCCCACAGCAATTAGAAGGTAGAGACATATAAATAATGAGCTCACCAGCTCCCTTTGCATCAGTATCTATGGCAACCTCCTGGGGTCCACAGGCTGCGCTGTTCCAGTTGCAGGCGGTCCCCTGGGCAGTACCAGTGCTCAGACCATGCCCACAACAGGGGACCAGGGAATTACACAGGAAATTGATGTCCTGATAACCACCAGAGAGACTCCACTTGTCAATCTGCCAATCTTTCTCTTTGAAGACTCTAAATATTAAACTACACCCCCTGAATGAGAGAGAGAAGTTTTCTTCCTAATCTTGAAAAGCAATTTTAGGGTGTGAAGGTACTTGTTCTTCAGTCTTTAGGAAAATTGGGCAGTTGAAAGTAAGGTATTTGAATGTAAGTGGGATGAAGTCCTTAGAAACACGGAATAGGTGCCCTTTGGTTGGGGGTGTTATAAAATTAACTCTGAAAGGAATTCAGTTTGGGGTCTGTAAGAAGTTTTCAATTCATAATCCACAAAACCCCAGGGATTACATGGCTAGCTGCTGTTCAACATATATATTGGGGTTTCACTTGGGTCTTTGTTAAAGAAAAGAGCCCCGGGCTAAAAATAAGTGTGAAACCTACTGGGTCAGTGGTTTTTGAGGTTCCCTCTAACTCTAAGCTTCTATGAATAGTTTTGGAGAGTTAGGGGTGCTAAGGGACCTAGACAGTCATTAGTAGTGAGGCATTTGAAACCAGCAAGAAGAGGTGACAATGGGGATAGAAAAGAGCGAGGACAAATGAAAACATTTGACTAAGTAATCCCCAAGCCAGGAGGGAGTGAAAGATGGCTTTCTTGTGGAAGACACAATACACAACAGAATCACCCATAAGCTTTTCCAAATCACAGTTGAATGGCTCCTTCACTACTGCCAACTGTGCCACTGTAGAGAGTGGGGGTATTTTCCTAGCCCTCATATATCTATACAGGGTCGCTATGGGTCGGCACTGACTCGACGGTACTTCACAACAACAACAACGTATGTCTCAGAGCAGATTAAAAGGGTTGAGGACCATGGACTAAATGAATGGCTGAGGTAGCCATTTTTGAAGGAGGAGGTGAAGTGGCTGAGGCGAGGAGCCAAGCGACAGAAGAGTTGGGTTGTTGTTGTTGTTAAGTACCATTGAGTTGGTTTCTATTCACACTGATCCTGTACAGGGCTCCAGAGACTGTAAATCTTTGTGGGAGTTGAAAACCTCATCTTTCTCCTGCTTGGATTCGAGCTGGTGGGCTGAAACCCTTGACCTTGTGACTTGCAGTATAGTACGTATCCTATTGAGCCAAGTTTTGGAGTGAGAGGTTGAAGATATTTGCAGTAAAACTGAAGCTTGAATAATGGGTATAGGGACAGGGTCTGAAGTACTGAGGAAAAATAGCTGAGGTCAGAAATTTCAGGCCATGTGTAGATGTGTTTAATGGGAGGAGGTGGTGGTGGTTATGTGCTACGGAGTCAGTTCTGACTCATGGTAACGTTGCCTAGGGTTTGCAAGGCTCTACATCTTTACAAGAATAGAAAGCCTCATCTTTCTTCCATGGAACGACTGGTAGTTTCAAACTGCTGACCCTGAGGTTAGAAGCCCGACTTGTAACCACTATGCTACTAGAACTCCTTTAATGGGAGGAGCTGGGGCATTTGGAGTGAGGAACTGAGGGCTCCGTGCGCAGGATCTGTCCATAGGGAGGGTTCCAAAGGTCAAGGTACTTATCCACCCTCAAATCCAGGTCAGGGTCACCTCTGCTTCTCAGCCCCATCTGCCACCCCCGTCAGCACTCAATATGGCACTTCTTGAAAGCAGTTACCTGCTCTTTCTCCGTGTGTCTGCCCGGCATACCTTCGCAAGCCCTAGTGGCGTAGCAGCCAAAGTAGCTGCAGTGCCGAAGAAAGATCAATCTGTTCCTGTTAAGATTGACAGCCTCGTAAACTGTCCTACAGGGTCGAAATGAGTCGAAATCTACTAATGGTAATGGTTGGGTATACCGTAGAAACGCAGGTGGAGGGCTGACCAAGAGGTCATCTGAGCCAAAAGGAAGGTCTTGAGAGGAGACCCACTCTGCAAAAACCACTCGGTAAGGGCAGGAAGAGCGGCGTGTGGAGCCCCCTGGTGGGCGGCCATGAAGCGCGCAGGGAGCTAGGGCCCAAGGGATAGATAGTAAGGGACAGAGGAGGTGTGGCTGAAGATAATAGAAGACACAATCAACTGACATTAGTTGTTGTTAAGTGCCCTTGAGTCTATTCCAACCCACAGCGACTCTGTTTAGGGTTTCCGAGGAGCATTGGTGAGTTTGAACTGCCAAACCTGTGGTTAACAGTCCCGTTGTTATCTCCAACACTACACCAGGGAATGCTTACATGCATGTTGTTGTTGTTAAGTGCCGTCGAGTCAGGCTATCCCATTTAATCCT